CTAGCTGCTCCAGCATCTTGTCACATTCATCAAGCACAAAGTGCTTCACGTTCTTCAGGTTGAGGGTCCTGTTTCTCACAAGTGCCAGGATCCGGCCTGGGGTTCCTACCACGACGTGTGGACAGTTTCTCTTCAGTACTTCCTCATCCTTCTTGATGGAGAGGCCTCCAAAGAACACAGACACCTACAGGCACACAAGAAGTTGCCTCCAATTGTGAAGCTGCAGGTATCCACCATACACCATGCTGACACTCCAGCGTGGTGGCCCCCAATAGTATCCTCACCCAGCCCAACCAGGAAGACCTGCGGGCCTAGCCAGGGAAAGGCAGCCCATGCGGGACTGCACAGTTCCCCGCACAGGGCCATATATAATTCATCAGGCTCTTAAGCATAAACCACAGAAAACCTCAGAGGCAGCGGCTCCAGCCAGGCTTGGTCAATGCTGCTGGACCAGAGCCAAGATGGCATCAGGCAGCCCCAGGCTCACCTTGACGCTGGGCATGTACTTGGAGAAACGCTCGTATTCCTTGCTGATCTGGAAGGCCAGCTCCCTTGTGTGACACATGACCAGAACTGCCACCTGGGAGTGGACAGGAGACAGAACCCTTGTGGGTGGGGTCCAAAATTCCAAGCCCATTCCCACCCCATCAACCCCCACCCGCCAGGTCACCCACACCACAAAGGCCCAGGCCTAGAACCATGCTCCCTGCCAATACCCTGACCGAGGACCTGAAGCAAGGCTAGTGATGGAGGTCTGGCTGGTGGTCACTGTTAGATCTGCCCAGCCAACTCACTGCAGGCCCCAAGCCAGATCTCCAACTGTTCCCTGCTTGAGGCTACTGTACATCAGGGCCTCACCAGTGTGCCTACTAAGTCCCAGCTTTCACGATCTACCTTGAGAAGGGATGCAAAACCGTCGTTAACTTTTCTTTTTTGGTGCTCGGCCCATGGAACCCAGCCCACACACAAGGCTACCACTGAGCTACATTTTCAGCCCTCACTGTCCTTACATGGCGAAATATTTTTTTTTGGGGGGGGTAGCGGGGATTGAACTCAGGACCCTTCGCTTGCCAGGTAGGCGTTTATTCTACTGAGCTACCTCCCTGGCCCTGCAATGTTGCTAAGATTGCTACAGTTGGTATAATTCCCCCTTCAGGAAGCACAGGGTCAGCCTAGAATCATGCTGCACAACTGTAATGTCCGTACTCCGGCTGTGCCAGGAGGGTTCCAAGTTCTAGCATAGCCTGGAGTGTGAAGCCCCTACGTCCCATCTCCAGAACCATAAACAGGGCTGGGCCTGTAATTCAGCACAAAGGCCATGGGCTCCACTCCCAGTCCCACCCAAGAAAAAGTACATGCCATGAAAGAAGCAACCCCTATTCTGGAGACAAGCTACCAGTACTTGAAAGTTCTGGTTTCTCAGTATTTCCTGATGTCAGAGCCCAAAGTGTAGAAGCAGGAATGTCACTGGGGAAGCAGAGCCCTGCTGCCATGGTGGCTGGGCCTGAGAAGGAGGCACCCACCTGGCCGTTGACAGGCTCAATTTGCTGTAGGGTGGCCAGCACGAAGACCGCCGTCTTGCCCATTCCAGACTTGGCCTGGCACAGGACATCCATGCCCAGGATGGCCTGGGGGATGCACTCATGCTGAACTGCGGGAGAAAGTGTTCATGAATGGCAGAGGCCTGGCAGGGTGGCCGAGGCCCTGAAGATGGGGTCAGGAACTCTGAAGCCAGGCTGCAGCTTCCAACTCCACAAGGCAGCCCTGCTGCAGAAAGCGACGTGGGCATCACAAGTTATGCCTTGTGGGCAGACAGAGCTGGTGTGGGGCACAGACCCAGGGAGGGCCACAGGGAAGCATACCCTCTGAGGGATGCTCAAAGCCACAGTCCACGATGGCCCTCAGGAGCTCTGGTTTCAGCAGGAAGTCCCGAAAGCCAGAGCTGTGGATGGAGACATAGGAGCCCTTCACATCTTTCTTTGGTAGTGTGGGAGTGCTCTCAGCAGGAGCCTGGGGCTCTTCATCTTCCTCATAATCCAGAAGCTCATTTTCCACATCTTGTTCTGCCATAATGCTAAGAATGGAAGAGAAGAAGAGCTGAAGGCAGTGACTGGAGTGCAGGCAGGAGAAGCCACCCACCCAGGGAAGAGGCAGCACAAGCCCGAGAGTGAACAGATACAGAACTACGTACGCCATTCTCGGCTCCCTCTGCTCCAACTACCAGCTCCAGTGTGCACAGCCTCCCGGCTTGGGCTACAGTTTGCATATCTCCACTGCCCTCCTCTAACCCATGTCTGGCCCCAGGCTCACACCTGAGACCATGCCACCGAGGAAATCCGTTTCTTAGTATAGTGAGATGTGGCCCAGTGCTAGGTGCTGGCCTGCAAGCACCCCCAGCTCCATACCAATTCTCTCAGCACCCTACCCCCCTAACCCCTGGCAAGAAACCCCAGGCCTCTGAGCATGGCTGCTGCCCCGGGGAACACTGTGGGCCAGGTCTACCCACATATGCTCTTCCTGACACCAGAGCCTTGGCCTAGGAATCCCCCAGGCCCTGCACCAGAGCATCCCCTGCTTCACCCCCATGGCAGGACCCACCAGGCCTGGATGCTGGGAGCTTCAGGAAGAGGAATGTAGGCTGAGCAGGCGGCATGAGCCAGCCCCATTTCCCTGTTCCTTGTGGTCTACACAGGGGAGTAATTAAGTGCTTTCAGGAAAACTCTCTCATGGGCCCAGTAGGGAGGAATAAGAGATGCCAAATGGAATTAGCATGAGGTGCCCTACCCCCTCCAACACACAGCCAGGAACCAATACTGCTACTGCTCACTTG